AACCAGGACTTAAGCTAGTTTCAAGAAATAGTCTTTAAGGATACACACCTTTTTTCCTCTTAATTTGGTTTTATCATACAGGAAGTTTCTGGTTTTGGTTGAACATACTTGGCTCTGATACGAAGTTCAAGCAAAAGTCCTAGAAAATATGGAACATTTCCAGAATATGAAGTTAGAGAGGAACCCATTTGAACTTTTTGATGTCTTCTCCTGTACTGGTCCAACTTGTTTTTTCTCTCCACTGCTAGTTTAGGGGTGCTGGGCAATCTCTAGCACTGATCCGTTTATTTGCCTTGGTGTCAATTTTTTTTTTTTTTAATTCTTACCTTTTATTTTCACTGCACATCATCTTTGTTTGTATCTTTATCTAATGACAGCTGTAACAAGAAATCTGAAAAGTACCTAGTAAAAGAGATCCAGATGTGATATCAGGTTCTGCCCATATGTTTCTCTCTCTGAATAATACCGGAGTTAGAAAAAAACGGGAGATAAAAATCTCTGGAGATATTTATGTACCATTCATCTTGAAGCTTCTATATATTTTAAGCTATTATTCAAAGTATACATATTAATCTAAAGAGAAATGTGGGTAATGCATGTGCTATTGAGGTAAGATAAAATGTAGAAGCTGTTTATCATGGTGTGGCATGTAAGGCTGTATGGTCAGTAGTGTGTACCTGGGCCACAAAAACATTTAAAGCCTGTGCATGTATTGATTCCTTATGGCTATTGGTGTCCGTTCTCAGGAAAATAGAGGGATTTACTGTGGCCTGTTTGTCCCAGAAGCTCATTAAAGATGGATAACAGGGTGGTTTTTAGCATTGCGTAGTTATCTGGAGCTGGGAAATACATGCTGGTTGTCTTTTATGGACCAATGACTGTATCTTGCCAGTAGTGAGATGCTAAATATGGTGATATTTGATTCTGCACTGGTAGCTTTCGTGGGGCTATAAATGGGTGCAGTTCTGTTATCTCTTCAGGAGTTCCCACTGCTCAATATCTTAGTATTGAAGGCCAAGAGAGTGAGATCGTTTAAACAGGGTGAAGTACATTGTTCTATAAACATATTCTGCAAACACGTGTTATTGGTCTTGCAAAAATTTGTTCCTGAAGAGCTCTTGAAAAGTTAAGCCTTCCTGTGCTGCATTTGAGTATATTTCTTACAGGCTCTGCTATGATGTTTACCCTAGGATACATACTGTGCTGCAAGGACAGAGAGGAAACTGGCAGCAGTTCTCATTTTCAGGTGGCCCTCATGCTTTTCATTAGGAATTATCAGTGCTGCTCAGAGCTTTTCAGCAGAACTGAGAAAACTGGATTTTTCTGCTCCTGGAATGAGGAGAAGAACTGTGCAGTTTCTCCAGTGCTCCAGGGACAGGCAGGGAGAGATGAGCTGCAATGAAAGGCAAAACCTCTTCAGCCCAGCTCCCACAGAGGGCTGAGCTGCCCTCTGGTGCATCATACCATGGCAGCAGCAGTCTGGCTTTTCAGGACTCTGGTATAGGTGGTGGGGTTTTAGCCGCTTTCTCTCTGCTAAAAGTGTGTGGCTAGGTTAGATCCTACTTGAAGCTTCTCGGAGGATTTGTGAATTCCTGGGTTTGATTTTTGTGGTTATGTGGAAGGGTTCTACATTGCTGCTTGAGTGTTGCAAGGAGGCTCTTTTTTCCCTTTGTAAAGAAGCTGTTTTCCTGTTGCGTCACTGGAATTCAAAAGGGTGAAAAGCCTGTGGGGAAGAGATGTTCTTCTTCCCTTCAAATTTCATTAGAATCATGTAATTCCACCACATCTGAGAAATCACCCTTTTTCTGTTGCCTGGCCTGTGCTGTTGCATACCACCTGCAAATCGTGAGTGGGACCTCCAGGGGCAGGCAGAAGTCACCTCCAGCAAGACCAGTGGCCATGGTAAGAAGAACATTGAACCAGGGATCTCCCTCTGTACCCATCAGAAATAAATTTGTCTGGAATACTAAGTGAGGCAGGAAATTCTGGTAGTGTTGGGAGTCAAAGGGTGGAGAGCCAGTTGAACTTCAGAGCTTGTAGAGCTTGATTTAGTTGAGAACTAGGGCTTCCATGATGTGTTACTGAACTAGTAAACTGGAAACAACAGTGCAGAGACCCTTAGGGACTCTGAATGAAGACAAGCAGGGACTGGAACTACTACATGGAACCACATAGTTTCTGTAGAGACATTTTAGTTCACAGAGTAACACCGTCTGACACACAGTCAATCAATCATCATCTTGTTATTTGGAGGGTACAATGCACAGACATTTGGTCTGGCAGGACTGATACCAAATGAAGCTCATAAGCCCATACTACTACTTAGTGTCCATGGACAATTTTCCCATGTTTTGCCATATTCCTGCCTGCCTCCATTATTGTATATAATGGATACTGACGTTTCTATATAGAAAGACAAATTGTGTGATTATATATGTGTGTGTGTATATTATAGACAGTTTTAATATGTATTATAGGCACACATAAGTATATATTTAGGTTTTTTTCTATTTATATATATTATAAGAATATAGTAACACAGAATATACCTAAACAAAAAGTACTTTCTCTGTAAAGTTGACTACTCAAAATTTTGATAATACATGGATGTATTTTGCAAGAGCAACTTTCTTTTTTTCCCTGTGAGGAGGTATATGGTAAGGTGGCATAATGATAGTTTTACAGAAACACTATTTTACACAATTTAATATTGGTTTCTGGATGAATCTGCATTATAAGTTGAATAATGCTATTGACTGTACGATTCCCATGTTGTTTTAAAGTGAATAGGATAAATGCAAGAGGCAAAAAAAGGAAAAAGCAGTACAGGAAAAGTGCTTCTGTCTCTTCCACCTAATAATTCCTAGATGTTCCTGTGCAAATAAATTAGACTTCTCACATCTGTCCTTTGAGCTTATCAGTTCTTCTTTCTGTTCTGCAGTATGAAACTTCACAATTTCCACCACTCTGTTTCCCAGGTGCTGAGTATTCATAGTAAACAGATCCTCAGATAGTTAGTTGTCCAGCTTTTCTAGGGTTCCTAAACTTTTTTAAGCACTTGACTATTTCAGTCGATCTGGCTATAAATGTACAAGTGTTTGTTTTTTTCTCTTCATACATTTCTCAGTACATTGGAGAGATCTTTCAGGATGAAAAGAGAGGTGATCCTGTGTTTTAATTCTGGCTCATCTGCTTCTTTACTGTATGTTTCTCAAGTGGCTGCTTTGAATTTCTCCATTTTTCCCACTGGTAAAATTGAGAAGATGCAGAATACCTGGAGGAGCTGGCAGGGGGAAGTTTGGGGCCCTCAGACAGCAAGAAATGCAGTGAAGGTGTACCTCATTCCACCTCCATTGAAAGGTTTTCAATGCTGTACAGGAGATACAATAGGACACATGCATCTGAACAATAAAGATAAAAAGAAATACTGAATTGCTGTCTTATCTGTTGAATGCCATCCATCCTATGTAATTAAAGACTATGCTATCATGTATTTAAATGCGGAGGACAGATTTCAAGATGCTTGTGTGTATTTTGGTACTTAATTAATGGTAGCTTAGCTCTTTCAAGAGTTCCAAAGGTATCATTGTGCTAAATACTGTGTAGCCACAGAGGAAGAAATAGATTGTGTCTTTTCAGATGGTAAACAAAGACTGGATAAATGGTGAAAGTGAGAGGAATTCTCTACAATTACTGACCACAGCCCTTGACTGTGGATTAAATGACATCTCATAGCTACCGAAGGGACATAACAACGCTTAGAATTCCAGCAGCATCTGATGACATAGCTGGACCAATTTTTTATACTGCGGTGGTGGTGGAAGAATTGCTGAGGTGATTTGAGAAGTTTCTGTGCTTTCATCCTTTCTGGCTCTGTGGGAGCCCTCTGACCCTGTGGTGAAGCTGACATGAGCACACAGGTTTCCTGTTCCAGTGCAGAGTCTTGGCAGCTGAGTTGTGTCGTGGTAGTTTAGACCAAGCTGTTGGATGTTTCCTTCAACCAGCTGAGGCACATGCACCAGCTCTGCTCTGCTGCCCTGCCTGGGAGGCAGGGAGGGCAGGTGGGAGGGACAAAGAAGGAGTAGTAGGTGGCTTAAGGAAAGTGACATTCTCAGCTGCTGCAGGTGTCAGCTATTTGCTGTTGTCTGTGCACAGCTCAGTCTTACTCAAGTGGTTTGACTCAAAGTGGTGCTACTAAGCTAATGCAAAGTAGAAAATCAGGTTTAAATTAAGAGGGAACCATCTTATTTCTCTTAGATCTTCGTTTAGTTTAAGTGCTAAAAGCCATAATCATTTTTTCTCTCAGTTCTTGCAGCTTTCGTGAGAAAACCCATGTAAGAGTATTTTGGAAGTAAGCCCAGTGTTGGTTTTTTTCTCTGCTATGGCAGATACGTAAATTTAAAATGTAACCGAACACTTAAGAGTTCCCTGCGTGTGAAAATTGAGGGGGGAGGGGGAAAGGCAAGTATTAAAAAAAAAAAATTTGGCAAGGCTCCCCTCACAAGGAGGTGCAAAGTAATAAATTCCTTCATAGCCTATAAGATCTATTGTGCTGTCCAAGCTGATTAGGAAGCGGAACTGTGATAGTATTGCCTGGAACTTTTTTACTTCTCAGCTTGTTTTAACTGACATAATGTGAATGCTGCAAGGGAGAGTTCTATATTCGGTATTAGCTAATGCGTGTTTTTATGTAACAATACTTTTGTGTGTATAAAGTACTTGAAGTAGGCTACATTACCTGAAATTTTAAATTAATTTCCTGGCCTGTTGGTTTTCTCCCTTTTATTGCTAATCTGAGAGTTTTGTATGTATTAACCAAAGCTAAATGTACTTTTGAAAGGGAGAATGATGCGTCCTTATCAGAAGCGGAAAATACAGCCTGTTCAGGAAGGAGGACATAATGTCAAAGGGAGGGTTGGACATCCATTCTGTTCTTACATCCTAACTGAGATTGCCAAAATAGAAAATATTGTTATATTTCTAGTTTTTGTAGTGCAGAAATGTTCCTGGCAGATTTCCTGGTGGGAAAGACACTTCAGAGGATTAAGCATTCCCTAGAACTGTAAGAAAGCTTTTGAGGGAAGAGATGTGTAACAAATTGCTAGAATTTGAAATATGCAAAGAATTTTAAGATCAGCCAAATATCTCTTTCCTGTTGGGTCTGTACTGTTTGCAAATAGATGTTTACATTTAGAATGTTGCCATTTAACAATATCATTATTACTTTTGTTTTTGTTTTTTTTTAACTGTAGGTATGAGAAGGTGCCAGTAATTCTAGTTGGTAATAAAGTGGACCTGGAAAGTGAGAGAGAAGTATCATCGAGTGAAGGCAGAGCCTTAGCTGAAGAATGGGGCTGCCCCTTTATGGAGACCTCTGCTAAAAGTAAAACAATGGTGGATGAGCTCTTTGCAGAAATTGTTAGACAAATGAACTATGCAGCACAGCCAGACAAAGATGATCCATGCTGTTCTGCATGTAATATACAATAGCATTAAAAATGACCTAACCTGGACTACATTTGCAGAAATTTTGTAAGGTGGTAAAACTGTCTACTTCACTTCCTGGTTTGTGGGTCACTTGAAATACATCTGTAGTGAAGTAGCAACATGAACTCAGAGCTGAGCATTGAAAGTCAATCACTGACTCTGAATACAATTGGGTTAAATGACCACATCTCACCCGTTTTTCCCTTTGAGCACCTGCAATTCTACGACACAGCCAGTTGATCCACAGTTGATCCATTCCAGTCAAGCGTACGTGTGTTGTCATGTCAGACAGCAGCAACAGCAACTCCATCTGAAGAAGCTGGAAAACTTTTGGACATGAGAAACACAAGCAGTGGAGGGAATCTCTCTGAAGACCGTTCACAACTAGCCCAAGCACGAAAGGAGAGCCAAGTCTTTCAGTGTCCAAGTACCATGCTTCGGGACATGCGCTATCACCTGTGGCCAAGTTTGTTCAGTCAAATACGTTGATTTCACCAGAACTTCTGACAGTGTTAGAGGAAGAGGCTACCAGAGACCTTTATAGTTTGGATTTTTTTTCAAAATTGATGCTATTATTTCTACACTTTATCCCACATCTTGAAATAGAAAATATTGCATCAGTGTGTGAAATGAGGGATGAGATCTGAAAACAAATGACGGGTGAAGAAACAGCCTGGCGTTGGAATGTTTCAACTCTTTCGTTTTGCTGCTCAAAAATGGAGGATCGCTTCAGGTTTTGGTCTGCAAAAAGCCAAACAAACCCTCTGTTTACAAAGCAGGAAGCATCTTTATTTATCACTTTACTGAACCAGGAGGAAGCAACTGTGATGAGAAAAAAAAAAAATGCTGAGCCTTACTAACAAGGAACACTTTAATAGATTAACTAGTACCATCTTGTAAGGAAAATTAAGCCATGTTGCATCCATATGTTCCCTTCTGCAGAAACCTCATGGGACAGTATGAACATCCTGCATTTTTAAGTTTGTTATAGATGACAGTTTTCCTTGCCTTGAAGGGCTAAGTTCTCTGGTGTGATCCCTAACTAACCTTTGAAAGTCAAGTTTGCTATTTGATAGCTTTAATGTTGAAAACTTAAATTGAATAACCATGTGAAATCATTTGGTTCAGAGGTGAAATAGTTACAGTTGTAATTCCTTAGGTGAGTGTGGAAATGGCTTTTTAATTGCCTGACACACTATTCAAAGGTTGCCCCAATTACTGGAGTGTTAAATGGTGGGAGCAAAATATTTTATTTTGAAAGGATGCTCGAGCTCTGACTTGCTAGTTTCATAGCAGTGAAGTATTTACCATTTGCATGACTAATGGCACAGAAATACCTATTCCGAAGTCTTACAATCAAAGTATAGATGAGTTTTCAATCACACTGTTTAGATTTTAAATGCTGGAGAGATTGTGTTGAGCTGGATCTTTAATAGGTTAAATTGGCCATAAAAATACAGTCACTGAGCCTGTGGTCTAAATAACACCATGCGTTTATTAGTTTTTCAATCTTGTGCAGTAACAGTGTAGTTCCTTGTGTTTAAATGAGTGGAACCCGGGGTGCTGGGGTGTGCGTGTTGAGCGTGTATGTGTGTGTGTATATGGCCCTTAGAAATGCTGTAATTGGAGTTAGGTTCGAGAGTTTTGCCTCCATCTGCAGAACTTCCTAAAACGCTCTCATCTGCTACAAAGAAGAGAAAACGCCTTGCAGATCTTCATACATAAATATCCTTCACATTTTTAATTATAGTTCAGTGGATGATAACTAAAGAAATCATATTAATGGAAGAGAACTGGCCATCTCTGCCCTTAATCTTTCAAGACCTTTCCACAGCCAATGTGTCAAAGGGCATTAGATGTCACAAAACATTAAGCCTTACTAGAACGTTCATGTAGCCCATTTCCCGCCTACCTTGCAGAGCTTTTGTTACTGTACTTTGTTCTCTTGAGGAGATAGGCACACTGTTTGCTTCTGGCATCTGAATGCCCCTTTTGGGTGCTCTGAATCGCCCTCCTGGAGGCACCTACCTCTTCCCATTGACTATATAGCAACTGAGGCTTTTAACTTGGATCCTCCCTGTCACACAACTTACATGCCTAAACTAGATGGTATGAATGTTCTCTTCCCCCCGCCCGCCCTGTGTGTCAGCCGCTACGCTTAAGCAAGACGTGAGATGTTGAATTCATGACATTTCAACGTCTACGATACCTAGATTGGGAAACAGTTTATTGAACAGTACAACCTCTCTGTAAAACAGCTTGTCAGTGTGAGATCCACTGCAAAAGTGCTCAAAAAAACCCCCAAACAGCCAACATCAAACCCGAATTTGAAGCTGAGTTGGAAGTGCATGTTATGTAATGTCAGCCACAGCGATGTTAAATCTTAGCTCACAGATTGTTCATCAATCAAGAAGATGGCATGAAATACAACATGAACAGCCTAACAGGAGGTTCCTCTTAAGGCAGATGGGCTTTTAATATAGGAAAAGTTGCACAGTAAAACTTAGAGAATATCAATGAAAAATATCTCCCAGTCATGTTTCTTCATTACACTCTTAATTCCAACTCAAGCCATTCTGTTATTTTAAAGAACATGTGTATGGTACCGCACAGGGTGGCAGGGGAAGCGTAAGTGTTGTTTTTTCATTTTCTAGTTCTGAGGAAGTAGTTATGCACTATTTTTATGTCCACTAATGTGAAGATAGTGGAGCTTGAATCAATGACAGTTGCACTCGACAGAGATTTTTTTCAAATTGCAGGGGTAGCAGAAAGGGAGGTGAGCCACGTGGCAGCTGCGTGACCGCCCTGCGGGAGCTGTTGCTCTTGGGTCACTGTTTCATTTGTACCCCCATAGGATTACCAGTTATAGTATCTGAAAGTTTCTTATGCCTTAAAATATTATTATTTGTTCCAAAGACCCACGTTTTCCTTTGGCTGTTCTTGTAGGACTTTGTATTTTTCTACAAAGACAGCATTTCTCCAGTTTTGTTGTGTTTTATCTTGTTTTTTAAAGTTGCAACTTTTATTCTTTTAAGCTATGATAGTGAGAGCAACTGTTTCCTCTTTCCC